GGTGTTAATGAGGGGTTTAGTGCAGCCTGTGGAGCCTGAGGCTTTGGTTTGGGGAGCCTGTGGCCTGGCAGGGTCCTGGGGGGTGTAACTCATCCCCCATGTCTCTGGTGGGGGTGGCACAGCTCCTGTGATTTCCAGGGGATCAGCGGTTCATCACTGGGACACCATTTAGCAGGATACTATCACTGGGGGCATAGTGTTGGCCATGCTGTGCTGACTCCACGCTCATGGGAGTGCTCAGACCTGCACCCTCTGTGCCTTCTTCCAGGTCCCAGCTTGGCCAGTGTGTCACCCTTCCACATGGCCCAGCGATGACAGACAGGCCGGGTCCGCTCCCTGGGCTCAGCCCACTCCATCATGGGTGCACCAGCTAATGCCCTGCGGATAAGCAGAGCAGAGAACCTGCTCAACGGGAAATGCAGCCTCCTCTGTGTCATGGAAATCTGCTCCCCACCTCTTGGCCTGAGGCCAAGGCTGGGCAAGGGGGAGATTAATAGATGGTAATTACTGACATCAAGGAAGCCAGGACATGACACATGGGTGGACATGGGTGGCCATGGTGCTCTGGGTGGTAACAGGCCTCTTGCAGGAGGAGTTTCCAAACTTCTGCCTAACTGCAGCGTGGTACCTCGCATGCCAGATGGAGCAGAGTGGAGGATCCTGGATTTGGGTTCTTCCTTGTCCCTCACCAGAGCCCAAAGCTGGTGTCGGTGGGACCATGTTCTCCATGTATGAGCCAGGGACATGCCCAAGTGCCTGGGCTCCCCATGCTGCCATGACTTTGCCAACAGGAGGGCGCTGGAGGCCATCCTGGTGCTGCAGACACTAAGGCTCCGTGCTTCCCAAATATCGCTGCCCTGCGTGGGCTGAGTCACCACCTCCTGGCTCTTAACCCAGCAGATGGTTTCGTCTCACACCCCGCGGCCCCATGGTATTTGCTCGCTGCTACCTTGGCAGTTGGGAGATGCTTGATGGGCTCCGGTGCCTGCCTGGGGTGTGCTGAGTCACAGAGAGCAGAAGAAATATTTCCCTTTGCACGTCCCAATTAAAACACTGAGTTTGCCTCCCGGAGCGGGGCAGAGTATCGGTGTCCCCAAACCTGCTCCAGCAGGGATTTACGGCACCCGTCGGCAGCTCCCCGACATGGTGCCTCACCCGAACATGCTGCTGGTGCTTGTCCTCCCTCGGGGGCCTCCCAGCATCTGCCGAGCGACCAGGCAGCGAGGAGGGCCCACGAGCCAAGGCGGAGGTGAATACCTCCTTTGACACCAAGAACTAGACCGAAACTATGTCAACGGAGAGAGCCAGGGCGGCTTTTCCTGTTTTTCCTGTTGGAAGCTTTGAACTGTGTCCTGCAGGGTCAGTGCATGGGGAGACACCTCGGGCTGGGATGGGGAGGGTCTGAAATCCTAGACCCTGGGAAAGGGGAGATGGATTGCTTGGGAGAGGTATCGATGGGAGAGCCCACCTGTCTCCAGGGCATTAGCCGGGAGAAGGAATTTGGGGGTGAGTAGTGACTCATGTTTTCCAGAGCGATGGATGTGGCTTGAGGCAAAGAGGACAGCAGATTTGGTGTTGGGGTGCTCTGCCTTTGAAAGGCTGCCTCTACCCTACATGCAGTGCAATTTTGGCTGGTTTAGCTGCAAGAGCATAATCTGAAAGGAAAACTATGAATGATCCAAAGCACTGGGGATCTCAAAGCACCAGTGTACCTTGAAGGGGACCCCTTGGCTGCAACCCACCTCTGGGTTTAGCTACCCCACAAGGATGTTTCAGGCTGCTGAGCCACCAGTCGGGTGGCCCAAAGACAAGAGGAAGAAAGCAATGAATGTACACAGCTAAAGGTGCAGGGCGTGAGGGCAGATTTTAGGGGCACGGGTTTTCCCAGGGCTTGGTAATCCATTCTCCTGCTCTTGTACAAAGAGCCCAGAACAGACCTCAAAGTTCTCAGCCCTCAGTCCTGTGCAGACAGTGGGCAAAATCTGCTGGGAGAGGGTAAAACCCCAGCTCAGGAAGGGCAGGTAAAACCTTGGGGCCACTCCTCACGCAGATTCAATCCCCTCCCCGCAAGCGCTGCAGTCTGACTTTATGGCTACAGCTGTAAAGATAGAAAAGCCGATAGCATGGGACTGTTTCTCCTGGCATACAGAAAGGTGTTTTATAGTGCGGTTTGTTTTTCTGCTGGTGGAGCAAGGGGCAGGTCACGTTGTGTAAGGGGGCATCTGCAGGAGAAGCAGGGGAGCAGTGCTGGGTGGTTAAATCATCTGTAATGGAGAAGCTGGGCCCTGGGCCAGCAACATATCCCCCATCACCAAAAGCGTACATGCAAAATAAATGCTGTTCTGCTGGTCTGGGAGTATCTCATGGGTTTGTTGACGCAGACAGGTTGGTCTAGGCTTGCACCTTGCCCCGTCCAGAACTCGTGCAGGTGGCCCAAGAGGCACTGGGTCTCCTCAGGGTGCCCTTACCCTGCCACTCCCCGCCCAGTAGGGTTATTACTGCAGCAAATGGGTTTATTGGTGTCAGGCTGCACAGTGGTAGTTGTAGTGGCCAACGGAAATGGCTGTCAGGTCCAGGCTGGTCCACCAGACACTGCTCGCCTATTTGTATTCTTCTGCTGACATCTAGCGTGTGGAAACCTGTAACACAGTGCGCTGAGCACGTTGGGAAAACTGGATATGGGACAAATGGCAGTTTCTTGCCCTGTTCATGGCCAAACAGGCACCAGCATCTTCCTCTGGTTCCTCTGTGGGAGCCTCAGTGACCCAGGTGACCACCAGTATTGGGGATGGGGCCCTGCAGGCTGGTGCTGACTGGTATTTTCAGGAAGAGCTGCTGGAAATTAATCCTAGCCAGAGCAGGAGAATGAATTTGAAGTGCATTATTATCTAAACTCCTGCTCAACACATCCTGTTTTGATAGGTGGTGAATGTGCCAGTGAAAATAAGGAGCAGTGGCTCCCTGAGTTTGTCCTCTTTACTTCTAATTTGAACCTATGGTCTTGTCTCCAAACGTTATCTCAGGTCAGTGGGTACTCCTGTCAAAATAAGTAATTTCTAATGTCTGCCAGTGAATAATGCTTATTAATGTTCTTAGTGTTCTTGCCATCTTCCTTGATACACAAGTGTTGGGAGCTGCAGGGTGCTGATGGTGCCCCACGGAGGGGGTTGGCAACCGTGGCTCCTTCTCCCGATGCTGCACTGAACCCATGAGCTGGAGGAGGCTCCTGGGGGGCCACAGTGGTAACCTCTGGAGGTGACAGGTAACACTGACTAGTCTTAGCATTGCCCCCTGTACATTTCCCCTCTTGGTAATTCTTTTCATTTCATTGTGTTTCTCCTACCTTGTGATAGGACGCACCTTTTGGCATGGAGGGCTGGTACCTCTTTATCACTCCTCCAGCATTCAACGGGCTGGTCCTGAGCACCCAAAATGACCCACTCAGGCTGTTGCTGTGGGATGAGGTGGGGAAGCTCTGCACACCCCAAAGGTGTGTGGACACCTTTGAGGACAGAGGGGACCACAACTCAGACCTGCCCTGTGTCCTGAATGGTCTTGACCCTGTGGTTGCTGGCACAGATCACAGCATCCGCAGGCAAAGGTGCCCTGGGGCTGGGCACGCCGGCACCCTGCGGGGGCACCCACTCCTACCCTGCGGGAGAGGGACAGTCCCTCGTTCCAGCCCAGTCACAGTAAATCCTCCTAACGCTGCTATGGGGCATCTGGTGGCTTCAGGGCTCTGTCATGTCACATCACAGGATGGAGACAGGCAAGTGCTCCTCTGTCCTTGCACGTAAAATGTGCTTTAAGATAAAAAGGGCTGTGGGAAATCTCACACTGAACCATTTACACCGCTGTTCACATGACTTTATTTTGTAAAATACCTCTCAAATCTTGCCAGAAGTCAAGGTTTATTTCCCCATCCTGAGGGTATTTAATCCTCATGTCATTAACTTTCATTTTAATGTACAATTGCAGAGGAGAAAATAAGCAAAATATTTTGTCTTAGGGAAAAGATCAGATATAAATTTATCCTGAAGCCATCGGAGATGCTTATCAACATGTTTTTCTCTTTCCCAGCTTCATGAGCTTGCAGAAGAACCTGTTTTGCTTGACTTTGGCTTTCTGAGAGAAGAAATGACTGCGGGAGATATTTGGTTGGGTATCAAGTCCCTGCTCAGGACGGGTTGATTTGAGCATGGGATAGGAAACAAAAAGCATCACTGTGTGGGATCACGTTGGGGCACTCTGGGCAACAGAAGGACTTGGCTGTAAAAACACGAGATTTTTTTCCCCCAATTTATGCAGGAAAACATCCTCTGAGTGGGACCAAATTTATTTCTGTAGTGGAAGCCTTTTTCTTGCTTTCAGTTACAACCAGCCTAAGTTTACAAAATCAAAAAAAGGTGTAGGTATTAATCCAAATCTCACCTTCTTCCTCAGACTTTGCTGAGGCTGTACCCCAGGCACAGGGCTGTTGGGGGCAGAGCACATCAGGGTGTTCGATCGGCCCCATCCGCGAGCGCTGCTCTGGGTCATGGGTGAAAACTAAGACTGCTACACTTGCTTTTTTGCAAAGCTGGAATGAACTTTGCTTAAAAACTGCTTGAAAACTGAACTTTTTCCAAAATGAACTTTTGCCAAACATCATGTCAGCAAAAAACAATAGGAAAGGGCAGTTATTTTTTCCCATTTTGGTACTTTTTCAGAAATCATTCCCTCATGTTTCCTACTCTCCGTATGAGGTTAAAGAAGGAGAAAAATGCCCCAGACGCTGCAGGGAGAAGCACAGAGAGTGATGGAGGTGGAAGTGGGAAGGCTGAGATGGTGTGGGGGGCAGATGAGGCTGAGCAAGCAGATTCCTCGCAGAGCTGCTGTGCCGTGGCGAGGACAGAGTTAAGCTGCAGCGTTGGTGGAAGGAGCTCAGGTGTGGCTCTGCTTTCCTTCCTGGCCTCCAGGATTACAGCACCGCTTGCCAGGCTCTGGGAAGAGGTTACAGAATGCCTCTCCCAGGAGAGCCGCCCCCAAACGTGGGGCATGAAGGTCCCATCCCTGCAGTGGGGGCCAGTGAGGGCAGCACCTTCCCTGGGGACAAAGCTGGCCCAAAGGACATTGTCAGTGGGGAAGGTGAAGCAGATGGTGCACCCAGATTTGCCCTGAACACGCTGGTTTTGAATGACTCCAAGGAAGCAGCCAGTGCTCAGGAGAGCAAAAAGGATGATATTTACTGTGACTGCTGCTTGGTGGTGGAGGAGGTGGTGGTGGAGGAGAAGCTGGTGGTGACATCCTGCCTCACCTGCCCAGCGTACCACCAGGCTGCCCTGGGGAGCAGCCAGCTGCTGAGCCGCTGGACGTGCAGCCCCTCTGAGGACACTGAGACGTTGATCTGCAGGTTAGAGCACTTACCTCTATAACCAGACCCATGGTCGTGAGTGAACAGCCCAGGTAAGTGAAGAGTAAATGGTTTTAGGTTTAACCCAAGAAGCAAGTAAGTGGGAAAGACTGAGGTTTGACAAATTACTTGCTTTGTCCTTTCTCTGGATTTACTTTCTCCCCCTGGGAGGGGTGGGGGCTCCAATTCTGAAACAAGTGGTTGCCACCAGTGTGGGTGTGGAAATTTTAATCAAACATCTGGTGCTGTGCATTTAGCAGATGTTGTGGCCAGTGCTGTGCAAAGGGCATCCTGTGCTGTGCCTGCTGCCCTGGCTACCTGAAAAGCTCTGCTGACATGTGAGCGTCAAACGGCCTGAGGTGTGAGTCCAGGTCTTCAGAGACCTCAGTGGCCTTGCTTTGGCAGGCATCCCTCTAGCCCAGATTCAAGTACCTGGCCCGAGATGCCCTAGAGCATCTGGCAGGGCTGGACCACACACTGGTTCCCTGGGTTCCCTGACTGTTTGGTAGCTTTTCTTCCATCCCTCCCCAGTTTCAGGCTGGAAAGTGTATTTGAATCCCTCCCTCCAGGTGAGAGCTTCGATGGGGTGGCTGTTTTATACTCCTCTTCCAGCACCTTTTAAAATCATGGATGGCAGGATTGCATTCCCAAGGGCACATTGCCTGCCTTCATTTATTAACAAACGCTTTATTTCCTGCTGCTGGTAGAGAGCTTTCTTAAGCTTTGAGGGAAGAAGGCAAAGCTGGACAATATAGGTGATGTCTTCTGGTTTTGTTAAAAAGGTGCAGTCATCCAAGTTGGATGGTGACACCGTCCTTTTTGCTGGAGAGGACTCCACTCCAGCTCTGGGCATCCAACACCTGCCACAGGGCTCAGAGAGTTTCCTCTCCTTGGTCTTCTGGCCCCAGAGAGGGTTGGGTCAGTGACGGCTCTCTGGTTTGTTCACAGGACAAACTTCCTCAGACCCACCTGGAGTATGACTGGAAGCCAAAGTCTCTTGAGAAAGCAATTCTCAGACTATAGAAGAACACACAGTCTATCACGATAAGGCAGAACAGAGCTGTCCATAAAACTATGATCATCACAATTCTGCCCAATTTCTGTCAATTGGCTCCTGGGGGGCACCAGCAGAGACCCACACACAGATCCTGGTGGAGGATGAGAACAGGGCTTAGTCTGTGGTGAGGCAGATTTTAGATTAGGATGTGTTTTCGGGAGAAGCCTGTAGCAGGGGATTGACTGGATGGTTTCTTGCAGTTCAATCTGTGTTAAAGCCAAGTGAGCTAAGAATGAATTGGTCTAAAATTTACCATTTTGACTGACATCTGAGGGATGAAGCCAGCGTGACAGGCTATACCATGACTTAGAAAGCCAAGGCTCCCTGGGCTCCCTGGGCTCATACTATGTGTTGATTTGGCTTTCAAGTGCCTCTGTAATGCACAGTTCATGGGGTTACTCCCAAACACCGATCCCTTGGTGCTTTGGGCTTTAGGAATCACAGAAGAACAGGTTCACTAAAGTTGGAAAAGACCTATAAGATCATCTAGTCCAACCATCAGCCCAACACTACCATACCCACCAGACCATCTCAAGCGCCACGTCTACACATTCTGCCCACTGTTTCTATAAGAAATAATTCCTACCTGAAAACAGGAGACAGGTCAGTTCAGTACCCCAAATGCACTGCAGCATCCATGCTTGAGCCCCCATCGCTGCTGATATTCGGGGTACAAAGATCTGCTCAGAGCACAAGCAAGGCTTGATTGAGGAGAATAAGCTCAGACCGGAGAAGATGCCTGCTCACACAAAGAAGTGCCTCTTTTTAAAGGTAGGGTAGTTTGAGGTGTCTCCTATGGCAGTGGCTGGAGGGATGGGGTGTCCAGGGAGCAGTGCCTGCTGCCCACAGCAGGGTGCCATACCCACCTGCAAGAGGCCCTGTACCACAGTCTAAAACAAGGGAATCTTTTTGTTTATTTTGTGGATAGGAGTGCTGTGAATTCAGGAAGAGTTCCAGGGTTTACATCGGGCTGAAGGACAAACTGTCTCCAGTCAGGTAGGTCACCATGGAGCCTGACATCTGCTTGTACTTATCAAAGCTGCACTTGAGGGCATGTGCTTGCTCATAAACAGCTCTGTGCTGTCACCAAGTGGAAAAAGCAAAGGCCCGAAAAGTTGCACGTGAGCCAGGCTAAAGCCCACCATACTGCCCTGTCTCTGTGATAAGATCATCGCTTCGGACTTGCAACGTTACACTGGCTGCTGTGACAGCAAGCACATCAGGCCAGGAACTTCCTGAATTTTTTTCATTTACTGAAACTGGAACTTTTTCAGAGGTCCTGATAAAAATTCCCTTAAGAACAGGTTTCAAAGCCAGGAGGGACATTCTTGTCAGACCTAGAGAGAATGAGAAACAGCCAGATAAAAAGGGCGTGAACTCATGGTGTGAGGAACAGAGACCAAACTCCTGCTCATCTCACTCAAGACGAGATGCATGAACCCACCGTCCTGGTAAGTCCCCCGAGACTGGGGTCAGGCCGGGAGCTAACTCTGCTTTATCTTCTGGTGAATAATTTCATGTCTCATCTTGACAGGGAATTGGAAAATGGTGGTGATTACAAGATGTTTTCAGAGCTGACAGTGCTGTTCCTTGCCTGGCTTTAGTGACAGGTTGTGATGAGGCATTAGCGGGTTACAGGATGATCAAAGGGAGAGGGGAGGAATTCCCCAGACCAGGAGGGGTGCTGGGTCTCACTCCTACACCACCCTAGAGCAGAGGGCAAGAAAGACCAGGGGTTTCTGCCTCCCCCCTTTAGCTTTGTCTTGGTCTTTCTTTAAAATGATAAACAGCAGCAGTCAGATGATAATGATTTAGGATGTGGAAAGCCTGAGCTTTATCGGCATCCCTATCCCTGCTGCTTTTAAGTCCCCCGTAGAATTCCCAGGAGCAGCAAGATACAAGCTGTCTTGAGTTTGTACCCACTCAAGGTAATGTGGCTGAGCCTCATAAATCCCACCGGTTTATACATATCTGCCCAGTTTCCTCAGCAAAGGAAAAGATACCAGGTAGCAGCTGCGATGAAAAGGGCTTGAGCTGAGTGGGGTCAATCCCAAAAAGCACTTTGTACCCTGAATGTCAGCAGAGATGGGGGCTCAAGCACAGATGCTGCAGTGCATTTGGGGTGCTGAACTGCCCTGTCTCCTGTTTTCAGGCAGGGATTATTTCTCACAGAAACAGCGGCCAAGGCAGCTCTGTAAAACAGCTGGAATGCCTCTAGGCGGCATGAGAGCATATCTGATCAGTGTGGGACACGCAGCCCTTGCTTCTGCCCAGCTCTGCACAAACCACTTCAGATCCCGGCTGGGGAGTCCTTTCTGATCGCTGTCCCCCATCGACATACGTGGCCGTGGGTTGGAGGTAGCAGGGGGTGCTGTGCGGAGCAGTGGTTTTAACAGTGACCTGCCTTTTAGGAGGATGTGGAGGTTGGCAAGAGATTTCTGGAGACTGATTGAAATCCATCTCACCTGTCTTGGACACACACCTCTGTCAGCGGCGGAGCAGCAGGCTCTGGAGGTACCTGTCTCCTTCCACTACAGCAGAGAGAGCCTCAGGGACTGGCTTAGACTCATAAGGACACTTAGGAAAGAAAATCCAGATTAGGTAAAGGTTTATGGATTAAAGTTCTTGGTAGGAGACACTTACAAGGAATTCAGTTTACTTTCATTCATTTAAGGAGAACTGAGCTGAGTCATGGCCATTTAAATTCTGGTAGAAGCGGTTCCAAGAAGTTTAACATGGCTTATCTTAATCCACTTGAAAAATCAATTCAGATTAATTTTCTTGAGTGTCTTGCACAGTTTGTCTTTGATTTTTCACATGTTAATTAGTTTTTATTGTGCATGGCTGAAACATAGCATGACCGCAGCTTCCATCAGTCACAGAAGGTGCTCTTGTGGTTATGTGTAGACTTTAAATACAAAGCTCCTATGTTGGGTAGCCAGGGTGGAGAATGCTCTGGATGGGTCCTGTTAACCATTTCACAGAATCACTGTGGTTAGCACAGCAGTCTCGAGTTAGCTGGAGTTCTCGAGTTCAGCTCGCCTGCTCAGGGAAGGATCGACTGGGGCAGGCTGCTCAGGGCTGTGTTTGGGTTTGGGTATCTGCAAGGATGGAGACTCCAAAACCTCTCTTGTAACCTTTTCCAATATTTAACCACCATTAGAGCAAAAAAGGTTTCTCTTATGTTTCAAACCCACGCTTTTCTATTTTTCTGTTTCCCTTAGCATGTGATGTAGAGCTGGAGAAAACCAAAAATTGACCAGCACTGGTCCCTGGGAACAGCCGTACCCATAACATCCTGGAAGATTTGAACACTGGCATCAAGTGCTGTCTGACAAGAGTTTGTACTTTAGCCACTGCTTTTTCAAGGGTGAGATATCTGGAGCTTATCTTGAGTTTGGCTTGACTTACAGAAGCACTGACCAAACAGGTTTGGAAAGCAACAGCTGCACCTAAGGGAACAACTTCTCCTGGAGCATTCTGCAGAATGAGAGAGGATGTTCTTCATGGCACAGTGATGTGGAGATGCCCCTCAAAACAGCCATGTTTGGTAGGATAGGGGTTTACCAAACTACTCCAGCAGGACCTTGTCCTTTTACAGGGTCACCTATGATGACATGAACTTGATGCACCAGTTTGCGTATGATTTTGCTGAGCCTTTCTACCCTGACTTTTGGCTTTGAAAAGAACTGTCAGGATAACGTGGCTGGGGAAGATGCTGAGAAGATCCCAGCCTCCTTGCATTCCTCTGGGGAGTTTCTCCCTTGAAAGTATCTGAATCAGAACTGGCCAGTGCTTGGTTATCGTGTGATGCCAATACTTCTGCTGCAGGTAGCTGGGGGAAGCAGGGAGAGCTGTTTCAATAAAGACTCTTGCAACCAAATGTGGTTCTGAGCATCCCATATTTAGAGGTGCACAGGACTTGTGAGTTCAGGCAGTTGCTTGTCCAGGGGTCAGTGCAGATTGCTCCCAGTAGCATAGCCATTAATATGCTGTTTAGTATGCGTTAGAGCCTTTTTTTTTGCTGCACCAAGGATGGTGGTGTGTCACTGCCCTGCCATGTTGGTGTCCCCATGCTGGTGTCAGCGAGCAGACAGAAGCCAGGCAGACCAGGGTTGTGCTGCCCTTTTCCCTGCTGTGCCTGGGTCAGCGCTCTCAGCCCCCAGCTCAGTTCTCAGTTGGGATCAGGGCACAGTGGGGCGGTGAGAGGTCCCCCGGTCCTCCCACCCCAGGTCTGCACCGAGAACAAGGAGCCATGACCGAGGCTGGAGCAGGCGAGAGTCCTTCCAGGGTGTGCAGAGCAGCCCCAAACTTCCTTCCTTCTTTCTCCAAAGGTGACTGGGAAGCGCTGGTGGGGCGCCGGGGGGAGCAGAGGCTGCCGGAGCGTGGGAGCGCAGAGGGTGATGCGGGGAAGGCAG